TTTGGGAAACATCGTCGTGTGTTCTTCAGTCCAAGAGTTGGGAGTCGTATGTTGAGTCATTTTTCTTTGGTTCATTCAGATGTTTGGGGTCCAATCAAAATAGAGTTTTATAATGGGTACAAGTATTTTGTCTCCTTTGATTGTTTAAGAATGACATGGATTTACTTAATGAAAGAAAGAAGTGAATTATTTTCCATTTTTCAAAAATTCCATGCTGAAATACGCACATAATTTGGTGTTCCAATCAAAGTTCTCCGTTCAGATAATGGTCGTGAATGCTTTCTTACTTCATTTCAATAGTATTTAGAACATCATGTCATTATTCATCAGACCTCATGTGCATTCACCCCTCAACAAAATGGGGTAGCCGAATGAAAGAACCATCAACTTCTTGAAACTGCTTGGTCTATTCTTCACCACATGAATGTTCCTAAACGGTTTTGGAGTGATGCTGTACTCATTGCATGTTTTCTCATTAATCGGATGCCCTCCTTCATTCTTCATGGTCGGTCCCCCTTCTCTATCTTGTTTCCCACTTTATCTCCTTTTTCATTAACTCCTCGTGTCTTTGGTTGTGTGTGCTTTGTCCACAATCTAAGTCCTGGAATAGACAAGCTAGATGCACGCTCAATTAAATGTGTCTTCCTTGGCTACTCTTGGACTCAAAAAGGGTAGAAATGTTATAATCCCATTACCCAAAAGTGCTATGTCTGCCCTGATGTCACTTTTTTTGAGTCTATACCATTCTTCTCAAGTCCTGAAGCTCCTCCAATTCCACCCTTACTTCCTATTCCTCTTCCTGTCAGTGATCCAGTTCCAGATGCTGTTGTTGGAGTAGACTCATCACCTCATCCAGTGCAGATCACCACCGAACGACCACCGGTCCGACAAGTGTATACACGTCAAACGACACCGGCCCCTCCTCTAGCTTCTACCTCATCTGCGGATCCTCTCATGGCTCCTATTGCTGAACCTTCAGACCTTGACCTACCCATTGCCTTACAGAAAGGTAAACGTAGTTCTACCCTCCATCCCATTTCCAATTTTGTTTCATTATCTCGTCTTTCTACCTTACATCGCCAGTTTGTTTCACTTT